GTCGCATCTCCCTCCTCCCCGTCGTCGCCTCTCCCTCCTCCTCGCCGTCGCCTCCCCTCCCTCCCTGCCGTCGCCTCTCCCTCCTCCCTGCCGTCGCCTCCTTCTCCTCCCCGTGGTCGCCTCTCCCTCCTCCCCGCCGTTGCCTCCGGCGACATGTGCACGAGCGCAAGCGCGAGTTGGTGCGCGAGCGCGGGTTGGTGCGCGAGCGCGGGTTGGTGCGCGAGCGCGGGTTGTTTTTTGTAGTTATCGTGATTATCAGGTGTGTTTCCGGTCCTTTCATCCTCCCTTCCCCCTCTGACATTTCTACTTTTTTTTTTTGTTTGTTCTCTTTGAAAATTTTGTGTCTATTGGTCTCCTCTTGCGTAGCTCTCTTCGTGAAGAAAGGGAGAGACGCGGAGCGCGAGGGAGAGCGTGTGCACGGGAGCGCACGCACAAGAGAGAATGTGTGAGAGTGAGTGAGTGAGAGCGAGTGAGAGCGTGTGAGAGAGTGTGTGTGAGCGCGTGAGAGAGCGTGTGAGGTAGCGCGTGAGATAGCGTGTGACAGTGCGCGTAAGAGTGCGCGTGAGAGTACGCGTGAGAGAGCGCGCGAGAGAGCACGCGAGAGTGCACGAGAGAGTGCGCACGAGAGTGCACGCAAGAGTGCGCGCAAGGGAGCACGGGAGAGTGCCCGTAAGAGTGCATGAGAGCACGCGTGATGGAGCGCATGAGAGCGCGCCTGAGAGAACGTGCGAGAGTGCGCGCTAGAGTGCGTGTGAGAGTGTGCCAGAAAGAGCGTGCAAGGGAGCGCATGAGTGAGAGTGCGCGTGAAAGATCGTGTAAAAGATCACGTGAGAGAGCGCCTGAGACAGCGCGTGAGAGAGCGCAAGCGTGAGCACGTGAAAGTGCGCTCTAGAGTACGCGTGAGAGAGCGTGGGAGAGTGCGCGAAAGTTCGTGCGAGGGAGCGTGTGATCGACCGCGTGAAAGTGCGCGAGAAAGAGCGTGCGGGAGAGCGCGTGAGAGTTCGCACGAGGGAGCGCACGAGCAAGCACGCGAGAGAGCGCGCGAGTTTGCGCGTGAGGGAGCCCATAAGGGAGCGCGTGAGGGAGCGCGTGAGAGTGCGAATGAGGGCACGTAAGAGTGTGTGTGAGAGAGCCAGGGCTTCAGTTTCGTTTTCGCCCATCCTTAGTCATCAGGGTTCCAGGTATAGTCAACCCTGATGCGTAGGGTAAAATTTTTCCCTGGCAAATGCAAGGTAAAAAAAACTATAAGTTTGTTGGGGAAGGGTAATTTTAATTCTTATTTATGAGTAATTGCCAAAGTAGGCTCATTTTAACCCTTACTGGCTCAGTTGGTAAGATTTCGCATCACATCATAAAGGTCACATGTTTGAATCTCGTTGTTGGAAGCATTTTGTAGGGGCCCGCATAGCGTTTCGCCTCGCTACGGAGCAATCGGTATCAATGTTATTGTGATCGTACCTTGTACAGTCAGAGCAGCAAGTTCCTTACACTGTTTTGAAAAGGGTACAAAAAACTTACAATTTCAGGCCTAGGGTAAAATTCCCATTACCCTTCTTGGAAAAGGGTAACTAAAAAAAAGCGGCTGCCAGAAAGGGAAAAAGGGGTATTTTACCCTGATAACGAGAGCCCTGGTGAGAGTGCGCTAGAGTGTACGCAAGAGAGAGCGCGAGAGAGCGCGTGAGAGTGCTGGTGTGAGTGCAAAGGCGAATGCGAGTGTGAGTGCGGTTATGTGTGTAAGGCTGAACGCGATGGTGCGGGTGTGATTGCAGTGGTGAGTGCAAAGGCGAGTGCAAGTACGATTCCAAGTGTGAGTGCGTGCATTTGTGAGGATGAGGGTAAGGGTGAATGTGAAGGTGAATGCAAGGGTGGCTGCTAGGTATTGCATGTGCCATATTGTCTACTATCAAATCACATTTGTAAGATGTAAAATTTAACTGTTTTCATCACTCATCTTTTGTTTGTATATTGCATTCTTCAGCGCCAATTTCTGTTGCGCTTACTTTGTTTTTTACTGCATCGATCTTGTTTTCTTGTGCAACTCATGCAAGTTGTGTGTGTGGATTTTTTTATTCTTGTGCAGGGAGTGGGTTGTATTCACTGTTTCTTCTTTTCTGTGCAGGGATTTAAGTTGCAACATTTGTTTCTTGTGGAGAAAAGGGACGGGGGGGAAGGGAGATGAGGGAGGGAGGGAGGGGAATGGGGGACAGGCTAGGCTAGTGTTGATTTGTACAAGGCTGAACTTCATTCATTATGCTTGCATGCTGATAACTGTAGATGTATGTTTTTTTGTTGTGTGTGCGTGTGTATATGTGAGCATGCATATGTGTGAATGCGTGCATGTGCATGCATACGTGCATATTGTGTGTGTTTCAGGGTGTGGTGCTAAGTGCTTCGTGAATGCAACTTGGATTGTGATCGTCGGTGGGGCAGCTTTGCTAGCCTCTTCCGTACCATATCAATCTCAGTTGCTGCATTGATGCATTTAGTGTTCAGCTTGAAACATTATCTCAATCGTTGTCCGTCCTCTGTTTTTGTACCAGCTTGTATGTTATCGTCTGTGCTTGTTTCGAGGTGTGGTGCTCAGTGCCTCATGTATGGAACTGGGACTGTGATCGTGGGTGGGGCCACTTTTCTCGCCTCTTCCATTCCATATCAATCTTAGTTGCTGCATTGATGCATTTTTTATTCCCCTCATGTTACGATACGAAATTTTATGAGAAGGCATTCCTGTATGCTGCAGGAGCCGACTCTACCGAGTACGAAGTCGAGGAGTCAGAAGAATCGAAGCGACACAGCAACCGTCTGACCAAGGGCGATGCAGGAAGAAGCATTCGAAATCAAAGGAGCGGGAACAGGTTTGAAACCGATTCCCGCGCCGCACAGTTTTGTGAATTTCGCTGCAATAAGGGAATGTACCCCTTAGAGTACATGGCTAGTCTAGGTCGTTTCGCATTCCTTTGTATTCCTATATAAACCCAATGTATGCATGTTGTTATCAATCCCAGTCATTTACATTCACTCTGAGCTGAGTTCAATACTTCCGCTGCGACACAACCCGCGATCAACCCTGAACGATCCTTTTTCTCACTTCAGATTGTAACACCTCAAAAACATGTACGATGGTTTTTGTACACGTTCGTTTTTATGGCCATTTGTGTGTCTTTCGGTTCGTGTGTCATTTGGTGTCACCATTAGTGCCAGATTTGTTGTCCAATTGTTCCATTCGCCGCACTTATCGACAATTATGGATGATTGGACACATTTGGTTTCATATAGGATAATTTACGTGAACAGTGTTTTCTTCCAGAAATTTTGGAGGGAAAAAATCACTGTTCACGTCAGCTCCCCGAAAAGGGAAACCGAATGTATAAGGGTGTGTAACCATTTTGCCAATTTTTGTTCCGGACGGTCCGAAATGTGGACCGTCCGGTTTAGCGATGAGTTATTAAAGTCGCTGCATTTCACATATGTGTTCATTGAACTCCTTGCGACGTCGCCAACATTCCGAACCGTCATGACACCTTTTTCACGTTTCCAACGGTCCGAAATGTGCATTTCGGACGGTCGAAACCCCAACGGACGGTCCGCCAGTTCTGCGCAGGGATTGGCGTGCGAATTTCAATCTGCAAACATGTGCAGGGGTTGGCGTGCGAATTTCACTTTGCAAACGAATATTTCTTGCGACTGATTGTGTGTTTGGTTACGAGTGTCGCGGGAACTGCGCGAGAATACAATAGTCGCGAAATCGGAGTGCTAGTAAAAATTGTCATATTTCTCTCCGGACGGTGGCAAGGTTCCAAAACGTGACATCGGACGGTCCGGTTCTCGATATTAGGACAGTCCATTTTAAATTATACGGACGGTCCGGAAAATAAAAAAAAAAAAACAAAATGGTTACACGCCCTAAGGGAACGTTCCTGGGCGGTGTCAGGCAGGCTGACGCGAAGCTGCGAAGAGTCTCGATTCGATTGAGGATGATGTGGAGCGATCGCAGCCGTCAGTAGCCTTGTGTCAGGGAACTTGACACCGGCCAAGAACGTTCCCGAAGGTTGCCACGGAACCCAAAAATGCTTCCAGGCATGCAATCGAGAACGACGTTACGCCGAGTTCGCGAGTTTGACCGAAGTCTTGTTGATTTCGTGAGAACGCGGTGTTGCTGACCTGTCGGTTTCTGAGCCACGGGGATACACGCGTCTCTGAAGCATGCTGAAACTACGGAGCACGTGGCAGTCTGACGAAGAGAGCAGTGTTGTAACAAGCTTCACGAAAATGCCGAACTCATTTGCGACTTGTTTTCCGCGTCGTCATTGGTCGCAATTTCCGATCTTTTATTCTCGTCCGTGCATTTTCTCCTCATTCTATTCGTTTATCGCCTACCTGTCGTCGTACTCACAGGAATCAAAGGAATCCGAAATTGGAATCAGCTTCCCCGCCGGATTCAGCAGAAACCGTTTACGAACATCAAAAGGAGCTATTATTCGGTTGATATTCTCCACCAAATCCGTTTCAACCGCACTATACCCCTTGCTTCTTTCTGGCCATGGCCATGGTTTCAACTCCGTTCGTCTGGCTGAACCCACCTTCGCCTTCTTGCTTTGCCTTCCAGCGAAGACAGCAGATGTTCCTTCAGATTCTTCTCTGATCGGGAAACACACACTTCAGGGCGGCACTCGGCTTTGCAACAAAGATCATAAAGAGAGCCAAGAGAGCGTAGAATGCGATCGAAAACGCGCTTGAGGCCGATGCTGAGCTAAGAGCTCTACAGAGGCCGATGCCGTGCCAAGAACTCTTACAAAAGTCTCAGAAGCAGATCTCGTTTTAGGTTCTTTCCAGAATCCCATGTACAGCGAAGGATCCGTCAGACTCCTTCACTCCACCGCTGCCTTTTCTGACGTGTAAATCTCCAACCAGACCACGTGATATACAGACCAACTTGTGTATTCTGAGTCCTCTCAGAAGTTTTAGACACCAAGCACGTGGTCCATCAAAGGCCGATCAGGATGGTGCTGTGGGAGCTGACGCTGGCGACGGCGTATTTCCTCGGGCTCAAGCGCACGTACCGCTTGGCGCTCAGAATTCAGAAGAAAGTGCTTCTCTCGCGACCCGGGATTCGCGATTTCGCGAAGAGGTGAGCTGTGCTTGATAACCGATCTGATCTCGCCGATCCGATCTGGCGGATCTCATCTGGCCGATCTTATCGCGCAGATCCGTCGTCTTCGGATCTATTCGCGCGGATTACGACGGAATGATCCCACGGTGGTCCCATCTGACCAATCCTGCGTTTCCAGAATGAAGTGCCGACTTTTACCAACCAGACCTAGTACAAGGCAGGCTGATTCCGCATGTCGAATCCTGGGTCTGGCCTTACCCCTTTGAACCTTTTCATCCCGTCCTTTTACAGCAATGCAGCTTTGGGCCGTTGGGATGGGTTGTTCTATTCTGCAGCTCTTCTCTTTCCTTCCTTCGCTACTAACCTCCTTTGCTCTCTCAATCTCTCTCACAAATTATCCACCCCCCTCACTTCTTTCCGCTCTCATACTCGCGTCTCTCGCCTCCCTCGTCCTTCTAAGTGCACCATGGCAGTTTTCATAGTGGAACTGACAGCCGTCGAGACGATACAGCACAGGGTCATCGAGATTGGGCGCACTGTCAGCAGCTTGCAACTTGGTGGCATTGCCGCTCACCTCCCTCGCTCCCTTCCCCTTCCCCCCTTACTTCTCCACCCGTGCGCTCTACCCCAGGCGCACGCGAGCAGTGTTCCGAGTGGCGCTCACAGCCGTTGAGACCATCCAGAAGAGGGACATCGAGATTGGTCGATCCGTGGGGAACTTCCTCCTCCGCTTCCTCGACCGCATGAAGCCCTCGGCGCACATCCGGGGGGATGGACCACACATGCCGGGGGGTTCAGCAGGAGGTGTTCATTCAAACCATAGTTCCGTGCCAGGGGGTTGCACAGGGGCCACTGGGACCGTTTCAAAGCACATTGCGGGAGAAACAGAGGGTACTAGTGCGTCTGTTGCGAGGCACGCAGGTGGTGCAACAGCAGCAGGACAGCACGCCAGTGGCAGTAGTGCCAGCAACGGCAACAATGGCAGCAGCAGCAGTGGATCTATCAGCAGCAGCAGTAGCAGAAGTTTCAGCACCATGTTTGGCCTAGGTGGAAGCAGCAGCAGAAGCAGCAGCAGCCCTGTTAGCAGATGCGTGGGGGACCAGAGGCACTTTGACACACAGACGTTCAGCTCTAGCCGTAAACTCTCGCTATTCCCACAACACCTGCAGGCCTCAGCACACTTGCGGTCCTTCACGTCCCTCCCAGGACACGTGTTGCAAAGCATAGAACATCAAACTCAGCAAGCCCGGTTACCAGCTGCACTGCAAGCCCGAGACAGCCTGCCTACCATGCCCCACTATCTACAATCTCCCTTTTTTCAAAAGACCTTGTTTCTATCACAGCACACCCCTGCTGTTGTCACCCCTGCTGTTGTCACCCCTGCTGCGTTCTCTTGCATGCCAAGAATAGTCCAACCGCTGCTGGCAAGTCCTCCCAGATGACCAACGTGAACCGCTGCAAACAGCAGCTCAAGCATCGGTTTTGAGGTGTGAAGATCAGTCCAGTCCAACCACTGCGGGCATGTCCGCCCAGTTGATTCGCATGGTTGGAAACATTGCAAACACATCATCTCAAGTGTTGCCAGTCTAGTGAGGATGGTGGGGCTTTGCTTGCCCAGGATGGTCTGAGTGTTGCTGGCCGCTCTTTTGACATTTTAAAGCAGTTTATTGCAGAGAAAATCAGAAGACTCTTTGAGCGAAGTTATTTCACCAGGTAATTGTCAATTTTATGTACGGTACTTCCTCTCCGGGAAAAAAGTATTTTGCGTAGTTGTAAGGGAAAAGAAAGCATTTTGCCTAGTTGTAACTTTAAAAATTCCAATAAATACAAATTTGATTTTTTCGACATCCGTTGTAGTCTAGTCGGTTAGGATACTCGGCTCTCACCCGAGAGACCCGGGTTCAAGTCCCGGCAACGGAATCTTTTCACCACGGTGAATGGCCTCCTGCATAACCCACTAGAGTGTTCAGCCTGCCTCCCACTACCTTGTTATCATACTTTTGGTGAACCACGGAAAACCAGAGGTTGGACCAGAGCCCGGAATGCGCCCTCATACCGTATCTGGGGTATTACATAACGTATGATGTTTTCGTGCTATGGGAAGTGGAGAACACTGTATATACCATATATTAGATATTACTATGCCAGGAAAAATACATCCAAATCAATCACGTTTAGTGTTGCGAATGGGCCAAGTTCCAAGCACTGTCAATCGCGCTTGTCCCCATCAAACAAGCGGGTGACTGTCCCACCCACACGACTGCCATGCCAGCCCTGGCAAATCCCTTGCCAGCTCTTTTTCACGCCACTAGAAACACAGGGAGATGGTGATTGAGCCTGTGCTTTGTCGACTCAATTCAAATCCCACTCGAGTTTTGAGACGTCTCAAAACTAGCCTGTGTATTGTCGACTCGATTCAAATCCCACTCGCCATTTAAACATCCAGCGTTTCAAGCTTGTCCTGGTCGAACGGCATGAGGCCAGGCGAGCCGTCCCACAAATCTGCCAGCTCGCCTCTTCTCCACGCCACCAGTGACACAGGGCCGAGCGTGGAGGGCACCTGGGGGGAGGGAGAGTGGGAGGTGAAGCAGAGGTGAAGGAAGGGTCTGCCAGCTCGCCTCTTCTCCACGCCACTAGCAACACGGGGAGATGGTGCTTAAAAATCCACCAGCCAGACGTCAAGGGTTTCCAGCTTGGCCGGGTCGAAGGGCATGAGGCCTGGCAAGCCGTCCCACAGACCTGCCAGCCCTGGCGAATCCCACGCCACCTCTATTCTCCATGCCACTAGCGACACGGGGAGATGGTGTTTGACAATCCACCAGTCAGACATCAAGTGTTTCCAGCTTGTCCTGGTCGAACGGCATGAGGCCAGGTGAGCCGTCCCACAGATCTGCCAGCTGAAAATGGGCGAGGGAGGGAGGAGCACGAAGCAGCATGAAAATCCACCGTCTCATCTCCCAGCTTTTCCATGCCACTAGCGACACGGGGGTAAGAGTCGAGGGCTTGCGACACATACCAACAAATCACACCAACACAGAGAAATGCGAAATCACACCACTTGTGGTTTGTGCTGAGCAGAGCAGGCTGAGCCCTTAGGCATACCCCACTTGTGGCTTGTGCCGTGGGGGTTGTGTCCTGTGCTGAGATGCTTTGGTCTGCACGCCAGCAGCCACAGCAGGAGCTGTCAGAAGCAGACAGATGGGCTGCAAAGGCCTTATTTCCATCAACTCTTGTTGTTTTAGGACAACGAGACAAACTCCATGAAAAAATGGCGGAAAGGAGTCCGGTTACACGCTAGCTTAGAACGTTGTTAAGAGAGCCAGTGTGGATCAGATCTTCACTGAAGAATCAGGGACATTGCAAACTAGTTTCGGCTTTTGCAAGCCTTCTCTGGGAGACCTTGTCAGCACGCCAGCAGCCACAGCAGCCACAAGCCCCACAGCATAACCCACTTGGTTGCCCCCACAGCATATCGACGTACCAACCAGCAGAGAGAATTGCGCTCAGCATATCAATCATCAAGCAGTTGTGTGAGCAACATACCAGGTATAGTAGGGCGGGCTGGGGAGACCTTGTCAGCACGCCAGCAGCGAGAGCAGCCACGAGCCCCACCGCATAACCCACTGCTGCCACCCACACATAGCCCAGCTGCCCCTTCCCATGCTCCTTCACTGAATGCAACGAGTCGAGTAGTGGGCGACTCAAATTGTCCTGAGAATGATGCTGCTGCTGAGAATGCTGCTGAGAGTGCTGCTCAGAATGTTTCTGAGAATGTTGTGAATGGGAAGGCTCATGCGGCTCTTGCTGCTGTTCTTTCCCGCCCCTCCCTGCCTCTAGAACCTCCAGCTCCCGCTGCTGTTGCTCCTCCTGCTGCTGCCGCCTCTTGTGCTGATCCACGCACAGAACAAGAGCAAGCAGCATGCCTGGTATAGCCTGCAGGGAAGGAGAGGTAAAGATTAGTGGACGTGAGACAGTTTCCTGTCCACCTTTGCTGCTGCTGGTGATCTTGTGCTCCTGCTCCTCTTGCTCCTCCTCCTGCTGCTGCCACTTCTTGTGCTGATCCATACACAGCACGAGGGCCAGTAGCATGCCTGGTATGGCCTGCAGGGGGGAAGAGGGGAAGAGTAGTGGACGTGAGACAGTTCCCTGACCACCTTTGCTGCTGCTGCTGCTGCTGCTGCTCCTGCTCCTCTTGCTCCTCCTCCTGCTGCTGCCGCCCCTTGTGCTGGTCCACGCACAGAACAAGAGCAAGCAGCATGCCTGGTATAGCCTGCAAGCACGGCACAGGTGGGACGTATAGTGATTGCTAGCAATCATACACTACCCTGCCCTGCCCTGCCCTGCCATATTGCTACTGCTGCTGCTCCTCCTCCTACTGCCGCCTCTTGTAGCACGAGGCCTAGCAGCATGCCTGGTATGGCCTGCAGGGGAGGAGAGGGAAAGAGTAGTGGATGTGAGAAGGTTCCCTGTCAACCTTTGCTGCTGCTCGTGCTCCTGCTCCTCTTGCTCCTCCTCCTGCTGCTGCCGCTTTTTGTGCTGATCCACACACAGCACAAGGACCAGCAGCATGCCTGGTATGGCCGGCAAGTAAGGGAGGGGTGTCGATGAGGAGAGGGTATTGGAACATATGCGGTGCTCTGCCCAACCTTGCTGCTGCTGCTGCTGCTCCTCCTGCTGCTGCCGTCTCTGGAACGGATGAGGAGGAGGGGGCAGTCCAAGAACAAGAATGAGAAATTACTTCGTCTACTGCATCACCCTGCCTCACTCAAACATGCCTGCCAACACTCACCATATCCTCATCCGTCCAGCGAGCTCGGCCTCCTATCATGCCTTCCGCACAACTCACCATACCGCCTAGTCCCAGCACCATGAAATCCCGTGCTCTCTCTCGTCCTCGCCCCCCAAACCAAACACATTGAGCGCACTACACAGGTCCTTCCTCGGAACCAAACACATTGAGCGCACTACACAGGTCCTTCCTCGGAACCAAGCAGCAGTTTCATTGGCAGCTCGATCTCCCTCACGATGGACCCCGCCACAGCGGAGGGCAGGCGCAGGGAGTGCTGCCAGGCACGAATATTTGCAAACACGATTTCAACAACTCAACTCACCATATCGCCCAGTCCCAGCACCATGAAATCCCGCGCTCTTCCTTGTCCTTTCGCTCCAAACACGTTCAGCTCTCCAAACAGGTCCCTCGGGAACAGCAGCTTCACTGGCAGCTCTATCTCCCTCACAATCGACTTTGCTACGGCAGAGGGCAGGCGGAGGGAGTGAGCGACGGAGTGGGCAGGGTTGTGGGCATGCTGCGTGGCCACTGAGAGCATCACGTTGGCTCCGAAGAAGCGGTGTGAGAAGAACACCCAGAAGATGTCGTACAAGAATAGACACGCCAGGAGCAGGGCGCACACCTGGGAGGGGAGGGGAGAACAAGGCAACGGGCGGGAGGTGTAAAGATGGAAGGGAGAGGCGGGAGAACGACGGGGGAAGGTGGGAGCAAGTAGGCAACTGGTTGGGAGACTGAGTGGGCGAGAGAGTGGGGGGGGTAGTGGGCGTGGTGCGTTGCCACTGAGAGCATCACGTTGGGCTTGAAAAATCGGTGGGAGAAGAACACCCAGAAGATGTCGTACAAGAATAGACACGCCAGGAGGAGTGCACACACCTGGGAGGGGAGGGGTGTGAATGGGTGGGGATGGGTACGAGTGTAAGTATGTGTGTGAGAAGAAGACCCAGAAGATGCCGTATGCGAAGAGACAGGCCAGGAGGAGAGCACACGCCTGGGAGGGTAGGGGTGTGAATGGGTAGGAATGGGTGCCAGAATGGTGGGGATGGGTGTGACTGAGTGTGCAGTGGTTGGCAGGGCGCACGGCTGTGCGGATGTGAGACGAACACCCAGAAGACATCGAATGCGAAGAGACACGCGAGGAGCAGGGCGCACACCTGGGAGGAGAGGAGAGGGCATAGGAGGGGGCATGGGAGGGGGCATGGAAGGGGGCATGGGAGGGGGCATGGAATGGGGTTGAGGAGTGCACATATGTGTGGGTGGGTGGGTGGGTGGGAGAAGATGTGACGCGCACACACATCGAAACAGCCAGACGATGTTGTATAAGAAGAGACATGCGAGGAGGAAATCGCAGAGCTGGAGAGGGAGAGAGGTGAGGCCATCACACCACAATGTCATACCGGCATACTGCCAGATCCCTCTCCTTGTTACGTGGTTACCACCCTCTCCCGCGCTACCGTGTTATCCCTTCCTATGCCGCCCTGATACAACGCGTTACCATCCCACCTTCACACTTGGGTGCTGCACATGTTTCCAAGCACACCACACCGCATGTGACAGACCGCGGCACCAAGCGAGTGGCACTGTGGCGTGACACCCGCTGCTGTGCTGTGCTGTGCTGGGGAGGCTGCCAGCCACGCCACTGTGCTGCCAGCACCATGACACCCGCTACTGTGCTGCCAGCACCATGACACCCGCTACTGTGCTGCCAGCACCATGACACCCGCTACTGTGCTGCCAGCACCATGACACCCGCTACTGTGCTGCCAGCACCATGACACCCGCTACTGTGCTGCCAGCACCATGACACCCGCTACTGTGCTGTCAGCACCATGACACCCGCTACTGTGCTGCCAGCACCATGACACCCGCTACTGTGCTGCCAGCACCATGACACCCGCTACTGTGCTGCCAGCACCATGACACCCGCTACTGTGCTGCCAGCACCATGACACCCGCTACTGTGCTGCCAGCACCATGACACCCGCTACTGTGCTGCCAGCACCATGACACACACTACTGTGCTGCCAGCACCATGACACCTGCTACTGTGCTGCCAGCACCATGACACCCGCTACTGTGCTGCCAGCACCATGACACCCGCTACTGTGCTGCCAGCACCATGACACCCGATGCTGTGCTGCCAGCACCATGACACCCGCTACTGTGCTGCCAGCACCATGACACCCGATGCTGTGCTGCCAGCACCATGACACCCGCTACTGTGCTGCCAGCACCATGACACCCGCTACTGTGCTGCCAGCACCATGACACCCGCTACTGTGCTGCCAGCACCATGACACCCGCTACTGTGCTGCCAGCACCATGACACCTGCTACTGTGCTGCCAGCACCATGACACCCGCTACTGTGCTGCCAGCACCATGACACCCGCTACTGTGCTGCCAGCACCATGACACCCGATGCTGTGCTGCCAGCACCATGACACCCGCTACTGTGCTGCCAGCACCATGACACCCGATGCTGTGCTGCCAGCACCATGACACCCGCTACTGTGCTGTCAGCACCATGACACCCGCTACTGTGCTGCCAGCACCATGACACCCGCTACTGTGCTGCCAGCACCATGACACCCGCTACTGTGCTGCCAGCACCATGACACCCGCTACTGTGCTGCCAGCACCATGACACCCGCTACTGTGCTGCCAGCACCATGACACCTGCTACTGTGCTGCCAGCACCATGACACCCGCTACTGTGCTGCCAGCACCATGACACCTGCTACTGTGCTGCCAGCACCATGACACCCGCTACTGTGCTGCCAGCACCATGACACCCGCTACTGTGCTGCCAGCACCATGACACCCGATGCTGTGCTGCCAGCACCATGACACCCGCTACTGTGCTGCCAGCACCATGACACCCGCTACTGTGCTGCCAGCACCATGACACCCGCTACTGTGCTGCCAGCACCATGACACCCGCTACTGTGCTGCCAGCACCATGACACCCGCTACTGTGCTGCCAGCACCATGACACCCGCTACTGTGCTGCCAGCACCATGACACCCACTACTGTGCTGCCAGCACCATGACACCCGCTACTGTGCTGCCAGCACCATGACACCCGCTACTGTGCTGCCAGCACCATGACACCCGCTACTGTGCTGCCAGCACCATGACACCCGCTACTGTGCTGCCAGCACCATGACACCCGCTGCTGTGCTACCAGCACCATGACACCCGCTACTGTGCTGCCAGCACCATGACACCCGCTGCTGTGCTGCCAGCACCATGACACCCGCTGCTGTGCTGCCAGCACCATGACACCCGCTACTGTGCTGCCAGCACCATGACACCCGCTACTGTGCTGCCAGCACCATGACACCCGCTACTGTGCTGCCAGCACCATGACACCCGCTACTGTGCTGCCAGCACCATGACACCCGCTACTGTGCTGCCAGCACCATGACACCCGCTACTGTGCTGCCAGCACCATGACACCCGCTACTGTGCTGCCAGCACCATGACACCCGCTACTGTGCTGCCAGCACCATGAAACCCGCTACTGTGCTGCCAGCACCATGACACCCGCTACTGTGCTGCCAGCACCATGACACCCGCTACTGTGCTGCCAGCACCATGACACCCGCTACTGTGCTGCCAGCACCATGACACCCGCTACTGTGCTGCCAGCACCATGACACCCGCTACTGTGCTGCCAGCACCATGACACCCGCTACTGTGCTGCCAGCACCATGACACCCGCTACTGTGCTGCCAGCACCATGACACCCGCTGCTGTGCTGCCAGCACCATGACACCCGCTGCTGTGCTGCCAGCACCATGACACCCGCTACTGTGCTGCCAGCACCGTGACACCCGCTACTGTGCTGCCAGCACCGTGACACCAGCTACTGTGCTGCCAGCACCATGACACCCGCTACTGTGCTGCCAGCACCATGACACCCGCTACTGTGCTGCCAGCACCATGACACCCGCTACTGTGCTGCCAGCACCATGACACCCGCTACTGTGCTGCCAGCACCATGACACCTGCTACTGTGCTGCCAGCACCATGACACCCACTACTGTGCTGCCAGCACCATGACACCCGCTACTGTGCTGCCAGCACCATGACACCCGCTACTGTGCTGCCAGCACCATGACACCCGCTACTGTGCTGTCAGCACCATGACACCCGCTACTGTGCTGCCAGCACCATGACACCCGCTACTGTGCTGCCAGCACCATGACACCCGCTACTGTGCTGCCAGCACCATGACACCCGCTACTGTGCTGCCAGCACCATGACACCCGCTGCTGTGCTGCCAGCACCATGACACCCGCTGCTGTGCTGCCAGCACCATGACACCCGCTGCTGTGCTGCCAGCACCATGACACCCGCTACTGTGCTGCCAGCACCATGACACCCGCTACTGTGCTGCCAGCACCATGACACCCGCTACTGTGCTGCCAGCACCATGACACCCGCTACTGTGCTGCCAGCACCATGACACCCGCTACTGTGCTGCCAGCACCATGACACCCGCTACTGTGCTGCCAGCACCATGACACCCGCTACTGTGCTGCCAGCACCATGACACCCGCTACTGTGCTGCCAGCACCATGACACCCGCTACTGTGCTGCCAGCACCATGACACCCGCTACTGTGCTGCCAGCACCATGACACCCGCTACTGTGCTGCCAGCACCATGACACCCGCTACTGTGCTGCCAGCACCATGACACACGCTACTGTGCTGCCAGCACCATGACACCCGCTACTGTGCTGCCAGCACCATGACACCCGCTACTGTGCTGCCAGCACCATGACACCCGCTGCTGTGCTGCCAGCACCATGACACCCGCTGCTGTGCTGCCAGCACCATGACACCCGCTACTGTGCTGCCAGCACCGTGACACCCGCTACTGTGCTGCCAGCACCGTGACACCAGCTACTGTGCTGCCAGCACCATGACACCCGCTACTGTGCTGCCAGCACCATGACACCCGCTACTGTGCTGCCAGCACCATGACACCCGCTACTGTGCTGCCAGCACCATGACACCCGCTACTGTGCTGCCAGCACCATGACACCTGCTACTGTGCTGCCAGCACCATGACACCCACTACTGTGCTGCCAGCACCATGACACCCGCTACTGTGCTGCCAGCACCATGACACCCGCTACTGTGCTGCCAGCACCATGACACCCGCTACTGTGCTGTCAGCACCATGACACCCGCTACTGTGCTGCCAGCACCATGACACCCGCTACTGTGCTGCCAGCACCATGACACCCGCTACTGTGCTGCCAGCACCATGACACCCGCTACTGTGCTGCCAGCACCATGACACCCGCTGCTGTGCTGCCAGCACCATGACACCCGCTGCTGTGCTGCCAGCACCATGACACCCGCTGCTGTGCTGCCAGCACCATGACACCCGCTACTGTGCTGCCAGCACCATGACACCCGCTACTGTGCTGCCAGCACCATGACACCCGCTACTGTGCTGCCAGCACCATGACACCCGCTACTGTGCTGCCAGCACCATGACACCCGCTACTGTGCTGCCAGCACCATGACACCCGCTACTGTGCTGCCAGCACCATGACACCCGCTACTGTGCTGCCAGCACCATGACACCCGCTACTGTGCTGCCAGCACCATGACACCCGCTACTGTGCTGCCAGCACCATGACACCCGCTACTGTGCTGCCAGCACCATGACACCCGCTACTGTGCTGCCAGCACCATGACACCCGCTACTGTGCTGCCAGCACCATGACACCCGCTACTGTGCTGCCAGCACCATGACACCCGCTACTGTGCTGCCAGCACCATGACACCCACTACTGTGCTGCCCTATGTTGCACTATACGCTTTTGAAATTTTACGTTTCACGTATATGCGTGCACGTATAAACGTGAAAACGTGAAACGGGGACAAATACGCGATAAGGAAATCCGGGCAGGCCCAAAAATAAAAAACAGAAAACAAAAGTTCGCGCTTTTGCCGTACGCACGTATACCGACATTTCGGGTCGCGTTTTTCCAACCAGGGGACGTGTAAAACCGAATCGCCACGTTCACCCCACGTACATCAACATTGCGCCCAATCACCCCCAACACCTCGTGACCAACCACGGCACGTCCCCCACCCCCCAACCAATTCGTGGTAAGTATAATTGACCCCACCTCAACACATGTCTCATCCACTTGTCATTCCTGTTCAGTGTTGAGCTATGTCTACTCCAGTCCCTTCTAACCACACTCAGCCTTCTGGTCCGTCTACTCAGCCTACTTATCCTTCAGCCTCGACCAACTGCGGTCCGCAATGGCTGGAGGAGGATAGTACGCATGTCGTCTTCAAGCATTTCAAGGTTCCCATCCGTCCCGACACAGTGGGGACTGTCCGCGTTTGCAAGTATTGCGCCATCGAGTTCAAGGGTGGTGAGTTTCGATGCGCTCAGCATCTCGCGAAATGGAAGGGACAGCGCTCTCGCGACGTCCGCCTGTGCGCTACGGTTCCGCCCGACGTGCGAGCGGCGGTAAGCGCATATCGAGAAGAAGGCGTCCAACCGCGACGAAAAATGGCGGGCCGAGGATGCTGCGCTCAATGCTGTCGTGGGAGGTGCGAAGAGAGGACGCATCACCGACTTCATTGGCGACGAGGCGCGATGCACGAAGGGCGAGGCCGACTACGCCGTCAGTTTGTTCTTCGCCGGCTGTCGCATTCCCGAACACCACGCCGACAACCCGTTGTGGCGCAACATGGTCAGCGCCATTAACAACGCACCCCACGGTTACGTCGCGCCGGGACGGAAGTACGTGGGAGGAGCTGGGCTGAAGCAATGCCGCACGAGCATCGAGAAGGGGCTTCAGCCAATCGCCGCGAGCTGGAAGAGGGATGGCGTCACCGTCTCCTCCGACTTGATGACCGATCGGTGCGGGAGGCCACAAGCGAACGTCATGCTGGTCAACGATTCGGGAGCTGTGTTCGTCGAGGCTATCGACTGCAACATGGATTCCAAACCCGCGGCTATATCGCGTCCCTCCTCCGCCCCATCATCGAGAAAGTGGGGCCCGAAAACGTAGTCGCTCTTTGCATGGACAGAGGCTCCAACTACGGGGCCGCCTGCAAGGAGCTGATGGCGGATTGGCCCCACATCGAGTACGTGCCGTGCGCTACGCACGTGCTCGACCTCCTCATGGAGGACGTGGGCAAGATCACGTGGTGCAAAGATATTGTGGATCTGTGCGGAGACATGATCACCTACGTCCGCAACCACCATTTCACCTGCAACTACCTGAGGAGTGAGAAGGTGAAGGGAGGAAAGGGGAAGCAGCTTGTGAAGCCGGCGGGGACCAGGTTCGGCACCAACTACATCGCCCTCTCCAGGCTCGTCGAGCTGCGGTCCACATTGTCGCAGATGGTGCTGAGCGAGGAGTTCGCCAACTGGTCGGCGGGGGCTAGGAAGCAGACGGCGGATATGTTCCGCGGCCAAGTCATGGACGATGCATGGTGGAAGAACGCTACCTACCTGGCGGAGCTCTTGGCGATTCCATTCAAGGTGATGCGGGCCACGGACAGCAGCGCCAAAGGGATGATGGGGACTATTTACGACCTAATGCTCCAGCTGACCGAGGACGTGAACGACAAGCTGGAAGCGGGGGAGAAGATTCTGCCGCGGACGGTTGCGACAGACATTGGGAAGATTGTTAGGCGCCGTTGGGACGAGAGCCTTGCATGCGCTCTTCACGTCGTGGGGCGGATCCTCAACCCGGCAAATAAGGAAGAGGGTATTTTCCGCAACGACATGGAATGTACCCGCATCTTCAAGGCCTTCATCGCACGTCACTACGACGGTAAGACGTTCACCAACAAGGACGGTGAGGAGAGGCGTGCCTCTCTTGTTTTGCAGGAGGGGCTCACGGCCTTCCTCACCCTTGAAGGTTCCTTCGGCCTTCCTGAGGCAATTGCCGACAGGGAGGCCGTGAAGGCAGGCAAGCAGTCTATGGTGGCGTGCTGGGGATGGCACGGGACTGACCACCCCCACCTGGCCAGCCTTGCGTGCCGTGCCCTGACACAGCCGGTGTCGGCGTCGCCGTGTGAGCGCGGGTGGGCATCGTTCGAATCGGTGCACACTGCCCGCCGCAACAGGCTAGGCTCGGAGAAGCTCCGAGACCTAGTTTTTGTGACCCACAACTGGCGTGTGGTCCACAAGTACCACAAGATGGGTGAGTCACTGGCGGTGCTTCCGGGCAACATGCCTGAACCTGCTCTGCCGGAGGGATACAACAAGGAGGAGGAAGGGGAGGAGGAGGAGGAGGGGGAGGGGGATGAAGCCGTGCTGGCCGATGAGTACGTGGAGTAAGAAAGGCAGCAGCAGCAGTGTAAGTGGTTGAGGAGCTTAGAAGCAAGAGGAGTAAAGGAGGAGAAGCAGATGAAGGTTTGGGGAGTAGGGGAGTAGGGGAGTAGGGGAGGTAGGGGATGTATCGTCAAGTAGTTGCTAGTATGTGTGTACTTGCAATGCATGTTTGTAATGGGGAAAAAAAAGTTTCATACATGGGGAAAAACCAAACTGCACAAGGTCACAATGAACATAGGCAACGTGACTCACCCCCCCATTCCTTTTTACCCTGCCCGGGAACTTTTTTTCCCCTGCCTGGACGACTGTATTTCGAGCGTATCGTGGGGCTGAAATCGTCCGTCTCACGTACGTACGTGAGCGTATAGTACGTACGCGACTGGTACGTGAGTCGCGTATTTTCCAACACAGGTGCTGCCAGCACCATGACACCCGCGACTGTGCTGCCAGCACCATGACACCCGCTACTGTGCTGCCAGCACCATGACACCCGCTACTGTGCTGCCAGCACCATGACACCCGCTACTGTGCTGGCTGGCTGGCATGAACGAACACCAGCCACGCCAGCAGCACCAGGGGAAGAAAGGAGTGTCTTTTAAGGCGTCTCAAAACACTCCTTTCTTCACGTGGCTATAAGTGGCACTGTGGCATGACACCCGCATACATGAATGAACACCAGCCACGCCAGCACCAAGGGGCGCTCACTGCTCCTTGTGAGGCGCCTCAAAAGTCACCCGCATACATGAACGAACACCAGCCACGCCCGCACCAGGGGGGCGCTCACTGCTCCCAGCAGCAGCACAGTGGTGACACTGAACTTTGCTATCGTGCTAACACACCGTGCGAGCTTGCTATCATCTTACACTGTCAGCCTGCTTTCCTGGTGCACCCTTTTTTGAGACGTCTCAAAACTACACTTCAAATACTGGTGACACTGAAGAGTGTTAGCGTGCTAACACACCGTGCAAGCTTGCTATCATGTCACACTGTAAGCCTGCTTTCCTGGTGCTATGCCACCACAAGGTTAACACCATCTCACCTTGACGTTGGGAAGCCGCACGTGGCTGACGAAAGCAACACATATAGCGGCACCAAGGGCGTTGTTGAGCAGCCAGTGCCCCAACACCAGCCAGCTCAGCACCAGCGCTCCACTGACCGCTCCCAGCAGCAGCTGCGTGCGAGTCACCGCTCCCAACACCGTGCTGCTGCTGCTGCTGTCAGTGCTGGGGGTGTTGGTGTTGCTGGGGTTGTTGGCGTTGCTGGTGCTGCTGTTTGTGCTACCAGTGCTGGTTGTGGTGGCGCTGGTGGCGGTTTTGCCAGAGGAGGAATTCGATCTGTTCCTGTTGTTTCCTTCGCTGCCGTTTCTGCTCTCTCGCCCTCTCACGCCGTCGCCTAGCAATGAGCTGCCACTCTCACCCCTGCTTCCACTGCTGCTGCTGCTGCTGCTGCTGCTGCTGTTGATGCTGCTGCTGGCCATTCCATAGCGAAAACGATGGAAAATGTACAGTAATCAACGGGTCCTGCAGCCCCAGATACGTATTCAACCACGCTACTAACGGGGACAACGCGAAGCAGGTCGCGGACGCGGACGCGACGGCGGCGAACGCGGTAACCAGCTGCGAAACCGTCGCGAAGAGGTAAAACATGAGCAGGAGCGACGCGGAGCTGGCCAGCGGGAGCAGCAACGCGCGGTTCGCGTCTAGGGTTATGGCGGAAGCGGATAAATCGCGGTGGCGCTCGGATTCGCGGTCGTGCACGAGCGCGCGGAACGCGGAGAGGAGGACGACCGTGAGCGCGGTTGCGATGAGTGCGAGCGAGGAAGGTTCGAGAAGGTACTGTAGATCGCGGAGGGGACCCATTGCGATGGAGTGGGATCGTAACGGGAGGGACTGAAACGAGGACGCACGCGTGTGCTGCAGTTGCTGTACAGCAGTGTGCTACGCTACACCTAGGGCTACTAATTGGCTGAATGAGCCTCAAGCTTGACCTAAACCCGCCAACAATCACTATTTACAAGCGCATTCCAGTATCGAAACAATATTAATATCTCGGTATATACCGTATAGCCGTGATCTGCGGCCCTGCTCACGCTTCAGTCGACTACATACCGTCGCCGTATTCTCGACGACTGGGAGGCACTAGGCCTACAATTTTAGGCCCTATCCCGTCGCCGAATCCCGTCGCCGTATCCTCGAAGCGTTGCTTCCGTTACGCGTCGCGCGCTACGATGGGAGTATTTAGGCCTCGGCTCCTACCGATAGTACCCGCGAGTCGCGACTCCCCTCTCGTCGACTGAATTCTTGGATTTTTCACTACCCGTGGTTGCTTCGCTTGAGTGCGAACCCGACAGCCTCTGGGTGTTAGCGTAGCATAACCCGTCACTCCCTCGCTCACTAACAGTCGCTTTGTTTTTCTGGGAGCGCTCCGTCAAGAACTTCCTCACTCACTCCCTCACTCCCTCCCTCAGTCCCTCACTCACTCGGTCCCTCACTCACTCCCTCACTCCATTTCTCCGCTCCGCTCTCCAACCCCAGCCGCTCGCGGTTCGTCGCAGCAAGCTCCTCTCCCGCAGCACCAGTGCGCTCAGCTTCTAGACTCTCCCGCAGGCTCAGCGTCACGTGGCATTCCGGCCACGCTTACTCTCTCCACCCTGCGCAACCCTCGCTGCTCGCCTGCTCGCTCGGTGTCAGTCACAAACTTGATGGGTCCGAACTTAATTACTCGATCAGTCTACGTCGTCGGCAGTTAAATGGTTCACAGTTAGGCGACTCGCTCAGGCTACGCGGCCTAGACCTGCCTTACGCCGTCCGAAATGCCTCCCGAAAACCCAGATCAACACTCCTTGAAACTATCACCTTCGAGTTATCAACCTTCCAGTAGCAGAACCGTACTGCGATGCGCGAGATTCACTGGGGGAACGAATCTACAGCCTTGTTCTCAGGTCCGTTGTTCCACTCTGGCCTTGGGCACTTCCGGATAGCGAGCTGGGCCGAATGTGTTTTATAGTAACCAGGTGTCGTGAATTTGAGTAAACATGCTCGCATAGCAGCTCATTAGCCTTCACGACCGTCATTATTGCCGGCTTTCTTCTCACTTCCTGCCACCCGTCATTTGCGAAACACCCAGAAGAACAATGTGGGTTGCCTCAACATTTCCAATTGTAGCGAAGCATACTGCCAGAGCAGAATGACATGCTGTTTATGAGCGCGCCCTCGCATCAATCTGATGGTAGATTTTTCCAATTCGTAGCCAACTAGGTAAACATGGCTCCTCCAGCCATCCGAACCGCATACCTTAGAGGGGACGATAAAGGATAGAACACCTTATACCTCTTACTATGGTCTCTCGCTTCTCCATCTGCCCCTGGTTGTTCGAGTAGCAGAGAGTGTAGTAGTCTCGTATCCGTGCTGCTCGTTTTCTCGCGAGTAGATTCAACGCGCGATCGTCGCATGATCGCCATATCTGCTTCGCAATCGTCTGCTGCTGCGTATCTTCTCTGTAGAAAACCCTAGAATCTGAGGCTTTGCCGTCAGTATCGTCGAGACGCCTCAGAAACAACCTTTTATCACGAGGCTTTTGCCGTCACTGTTATCATCGTGCTCGCATCGCCCGTTCTCGACATTGGTTGGCGGCTTTCACTCTGACGATCAGATACAGCGCACTAGAGCGACTCGGCGTCAAATCCGCGTCGCCTTCTTTGCCGACCGTATTGTTACTCTTGCGGCTTCGCGTGCTCGTGAATGCGGTTCGAGGACCATATTGTTGAGCGATTTCAACCGCTGCTGTCTTGAAATAGCAGACGACGGGTAACCACCAGACGTCGTGTAACCTCCAGTCGACGGGTAACCACCAGACGAGCAGTTAAGCCAGCCCAAGCAACAGGAGGGGTCAGTTCCGCGCGAGCGCCGAGCGGCTTTTGAGGCACCTCACACGACCAGCAGCTGACGCAGTGCCAGCAACAGGAGGCTTCGGTTAGGCTCGTGGGAGCGGTGCAGAGCAGAGCAGAGCAGAGCAGAGCAGAGCAGAGAAGAGCAGAGCAGAGCAGAGAAGAGCAGAGCAGAGCAGAGCAGAGCGGGCGTGATGGCGTCGTGGCTGATGCGGCTGAAATACGTGACTCAGAAGTGCTCCCTGTACAGCTACGTGATCATGCGCGTGAGTCATTATGGTGTGAAAGATGGTGTTGGTGTGAGTGCTGTTCTGAGTGCTGGCGTTGGTGCTGGTGTTGCTGGTGTGACTCTTGGGAATTCTCAAAAGTCATCGTGACTCCGAAGTGGCCCCTGTACGGTGTACCTGTACAGCTTCGTGATCATGCGCGTGAGTGCTGGTGTGAGGGAAGGTGCGCATGAGTGCTGGTGTGAGGGAAGGTGCGCATGAGTGCTGCGCTGGTGTATCTCCTGGAATGTTTTGAGACGTCTCAATCCACTTCTTCATACACGTGAGTGCTGCGCTGGTGTATCTCTTGGTACAATGCTCTGATGATGACAACTTCGTGGCTCTTGGTGTATCGCCTGGAATGCCTGACTCAGAAGTGCTTCCTGTACAGCGCCGTGCTTGTGCGCGTGAGTGCTGGTGTGAGGGGTGTGAGAGTGAGTGCTGGTATGAGGGGTGTGAGAGTGAGTTCTGGTGTGTGAGGGGTGTGAGAGTGAGTGCTGGTGTGAGGGGTGTGAGAGTGAGTGCTGGTGTGAGGGGTGTGAGAGAGTGAGTGCTGGTGTGAGGGGTGTGAGAGAGAGAGTGCTGGTGTGAGGGGTGTGAGAGAGTGAGTGCTGGTGTGAGGGGTGAGAGTGAGTGCATGCTGGTACGAGAGACTGCAGGGGTTATTCTGGCGAGCAGGGCACAGGGTACGTGCTTCCTGTACAGCTTCGTGGTCGTGCGCTCGAGTGCTGGTGTGAGTGCTGATGCTGGTGCTGGTGTGAGTGCTGATGCTGGTGTCTTGCCCTGAATGTTGCTCCTCCTTTATAGAGTCATTGGGCCTGAAAAGGCTCTATCCCCCTTACCCCCTATCGCCA